AAAACCTTAGTTTGCAGAAGTTAGAAGTTCCATTTAGATGTTAGTCAGGCTCGCAGGAGATGTGATACAGAATTTGACTGATTCTCTATATTTCTGTCTAAAATAATCTGGTATCTCATGTAAGTGCACTGTAAATTAGAATTGCTTTGATTAAAATGTTGCCTGGAAATAACTGTTTACCACTATCAGTCTTCTGCTCCAGCAACTTTGAGTTACTCCTAGGTGATATTTGCTTCATCACGGAGTCAGTGACTGCTTTTAAAGTGAAGTTTAATAGTGAAAGTGCATGGAAACTTGACTCTCAGAAAACATATCTCCAGGCATCTAAATCTTAAGCCAGGTGAATCACTTCTAAGATGGCTTGTACCGTTGCATTCCTGTTGAATTTTTGTCTGCAACAAATTTGTCTCAAACATGTCTGTGAGTTCCTGAGTTTTCCAGAGTCCAGCTGAACAAGACTCTGAGGAAAGCATCAATATCTCTTTAAAATGCCTACCGTAGACTTTCTAGTAGTTAAAATGTTGACAACCTAAAGTCCAGTATAGTAGGCTTTTTCAGGCCTAGCATTAACTGCTCTGTATTTCTGAAATCTTTGAAGATTACGTCCTTCCTAAGAGATTAACTCCCTGTTAGAATCTGTAGAAGGATGAAAAACAATAGCTTTTATATTTACAATCTTGTATTTATAAAAAAGTACATTGGACTGGCAGTTACAGGGCACAATGAGGAAAAATAAGAAAGGCTTCTTTACAGAGATGGCTTTCTGTTTAAAAACAAAATAAAGCGAAAACAAAACCAGGCAAAATGAAACAAAAGAATTAATACTCTGCCCCATCCTTTGCTGCTCTAGTAATTGGAATGCACCTCAAATACGGTGTACAGTTTTGGGCTTCTCATTACAAGAAGGACATTGAGGTGTTGGAGCATGTCCAGAGAAGGGCGATGAAGCTGGTGAAGGGTCTGGAGAACAGGTCTTATGAGGAGTGGCTGAGGGAACTGGGGCTGTTTAGTGTTGAGAAGGGGAGGCTGAGGGGAGACCTTATTTTTCTCTACAACTACCTGAGAGGAGGTTGTAGTGAGGTGGGGGTTGGTACTTGTACTAGCAAGTGATAGTACAAGAGGTCATGGCCTCAAGTTGCACCGGGGGAGGTTTAGATTGGACATTAGGAAAAATTTCTTTACTGAAAGAGTGGTCAAGCATTGGACCAGCCTGCCCAGGGAAGTGGTAGAGTCAGTATCCCTGGAGGTGTTCAAAAAACATGTAGAGGTAGCGCTTCTAGACATGGTTTAGTGAGCATGGTGGTATTAGGTTGATAGTTGGACTTGATGATCTTAGAGGGCTATTCCAACCTAATGATTCTATGTTACTATGTGAGAGAGAAATCTGAGAACAGGTTGGTTAGAAGACAGATAGCATTGGTATGGGTAAGCAATAAACATATTTTCCATTTGTTTATCGGCAGGTACAAGTAGTGTTTGTAGGCCAATAGTCTGTTGGTGAAATAGTGATTTCTTTCTCTGTGTGTCCTGCTTATAAGGATTGTTGAATGTGAAATATGTTGTAAGCCTAAAAAGCAGATGATTTTTATTTTAATGCTTTTCAGCAGAGTATAGAAACATACTTTTGTGGGATATTAATAAAAAAAGCTTTTTTTGGCCTTGAAAAAAAACCAACAAACAACTCTCACCAGTGTTAAAAAGGGGGAATGTATCTAAAAAAAAAGTTTTCTGTAGAGAGACCATGGAAACTGTTCACAGTTCCTTTGGAGGTTATAGCTGATTATACAAGGTGTCAGTTGGTGCTGTGTAGAAAATTTTTGACAGGAAGTCCACGTTTGCTTTATATGCAGATACACAAGGAGATTATTTAAATGATAAGAAACATGGTGTGTGTTGTTCATTAGGATAAATGTTGTCCATTTTTGGCACGTATAGCCAGCTGATGTCTTATCACCTGACATGCTGTTTGGTTCTAGCAGATGGTGACAAAGCAATAAGTAGCTAGTAAACTGATATGTTCTCTAGGGACTGTTGCGAGTAAAAAGTAAAATCACTCCCATTGCTATAGATTTATATGTGAAATAACGATGTGTATGTGTATACATTATTTTAACTGAAAAAATCAATAGCCTAGGATTAAGATAATAAAAATATCAGTGTGTTTAAATTTTTTCGCTTTTTTGTCAAAAACACCATGGTGTTCAAGTTGAATGACATAATCATCATTAACAAAAAGTAGGCTTTGGTCCACTGTATCTGCATCAGGTTATAGAAGCAAGGAGGTGTTCATTAGACTGGTGCAGCACTGGTCTTCCTGTTTTAAGAACACATTTCAATCGCTTCCTTTTTGGATAGGTGTGTATTATAGGCAATATGAATTTTAATAGCAAGAGGTCAACCCAATGTTACTCTTTATGGACTTAGCACATTTGTTCATCTAAAACTCAGGTGTAGTATTGTTGAAAAACTGAAAATATATGTGTCTAAAATTTTGCGTAGGCCAAAATTTCTGCTTGCCTACACTGATCAAAACTTCAGAGTCTCTTATTGGGTGCATCTCCTCTATCTGCCTGGGAGTTACAAGTCACGTTGTTTGATTAGAATTAGCCTGAAGAATTTTAGGGTTCCTGATATTTTAGGAGCTTCTTTTTAATAAAATTACTGCTGTGTTCATTCTCTGAATCATCAGGCCAACCTGTCATAGGAAATATTTACTAACCATAACTCACTATAGAGTTCTGTGGGTTTGGGGTGTTTTTTCCTTTCAACATTTTTTGCTAACTTGTTTCTTCATTACAGTGAAATATTAATACAGGAATATTTGCCTGCATTTGTGTTACGACAAGCTTCTCGCTTCCTTTTAGTCACTCCCTTTATTATTGTTTTGAGGACAGTACCTTCCGGGGTGAAACTAATCTTATACTCACTGCATCATTACCTTTTGCAATTAAATTAGCTATTCTTTGCCACTTACTATCATTAGCCAAACCCAAGAGAAGCCCGACCAATCCACAAGGTCTGGGTAGATTCTACTGAAAAGATGACAGTTAGTAGTACTGTGTACAGGCTTTAGGTCAGATGTCACCAAATCACCAGAACTTTTCCTTGGGTAAATGCAGTGTGTTTGGGATGGCAGAGGAGTGCAACAGAATGAAATAGAGATGTTTAAATATAGATACTTTTCTGTTTGTCTTACGTTTTCACAATGGGAAGGAGTTAGAGGTGTGGTTTTGATCATTTTTATCCAAGATTCCTTTTAGATTTCTTGTCCCTTCTGGACTCATTAGTCTCATTTAACATACAGGCGATCATAATTCAGAACAACAGAAAATATCTGGCGGTGGCGTTCCAGGCAAGACAGAAGATCTTGTGGGGAAGATTTCACAGTGTATCTGGATAAAAGTAAAGTATCCAAATATAGGAGGATGTTAGGAATAATCATGAGACACTTTCTTGGCAAGATGGCTGCTGTTCCTCAAGGCAGGAAACACTGTGGACTGTAGTGGAGAACTTTGTAGAGTGGCCTGTAATTATTGCAACTAGCATAAACATAAATTAATTAAAGGAGGGCAAAAAACTGTCTGAGGAAAAATGAAAGAGAAATTACTGGATCAGAAAGAAGACCAGTTCTGAAAGAGTTGGCATTGGGAACAATTTTGTTTAATGGTCTCCTTAATGATAGCACAGAAATAGGACTGAAATGATGAAGAGTGTTGGTGACAGAAACTTGGAACACATCGTCAGTATATAGAAGTAACACTATATTTCAGAGGATGAACTTGATGTTTACTTTAATTTTTGTAATATAAAACAGAAAACTTGGGTTTAAGGAAAAAAAAATATTTTCTTGCTGTGATATAGAAACTCAGCACTCAAAAATATGTGGATTCTGTTACTTAGCTACTCTGAGAATGACTCTGAGCTGCCAGTATGATGAGGCTACTTGAAAAGGCAAATGGTTGTGTAAGATGGTTCAGGAGACAAGAACAGTTATGAAAGGACTACGTGGCATGGTTGCCTGCAACAGGAGGAATTGAATTCAATGAATTTAAAGTCCTCCTCAATATTTCTGTTTCTGTCAATAACAAGCCAGAACAACATTCATCCTTTCTCAATGTGGATCTCAAAGTAGTATTTCAATGGCTTTGTTACTGTGGTTATTACAAGGACATCTCCTTGAGGCTGTCTTGAGATCTCCACACAACCTCCAGCATTAATAGAATTGTGGCCTATTTCCAGTTGACAAGGGTATGGTTAAGAAGCAAAAAAATAATGATGTTTTCTAATGGTTTGTGTCAAAGTCTGTTTGAGGGGAAAGAACTGACCTCTCAAATGCATGACATGACATAATTATTAGAAACAAAACAAAATCAGACCAAACCACCCAAGTTGTACATATAAAATCTTAGTTATTAGATAAAGGTAGTGTAGTTTGGGAACAGAACTACATGTTTCCAGTTATCATTTCATACAGCAGTTTACAGAATTTTGGAACTGGTCCTCTATCATTGTTTTTTGTATCTTGTGAGAGAAGGGAAGTACAGCCCCCTCAGCCACCCTCAGAAGAAAAGTTGATAAATTCTGCCATTCATCTGCTTCATGCTGATCCGTTCTGAGAATGGTTACATTGGTCCGTACCCATGTCCATCCACCCCCAGTATTCTGCTTGAAACAGTGGCCATAGCAGACTGCAAGGAAAAGTTCAGTGGAGTAAATGTATAGGATACTTTGCCCTTAACACTCAGACAGTCTTCTACTCTTCTCAGTCCAAGGATTTTTCTGACCCTGGTTGAGTTTTTCTACTTAGTGTAACCCTCAATAGATCTTTGTTCCAAGCACTTTCCTATTCTGTCCTTGGACATAAGTAAGCTTTATGCATTCAAGTGTCTTTTATCAAGGAGTCCATTGGGTGGAGAACCACCTTCTTCTGTTTACTGTTGAATCTGACTCCTACAGGCTTTGTTCGATGGCCCATAGCTCTTTTTGGAAGAGAGCAGGAACAGTTGCTTCACTGTCTCCATGCTGCTCGTGTTTTCTCTAGATAATTTCTGTACCCTCTAGAGGTTAATATATGTTTGTTTTGTTTTATTTTGTTTTGTTTTTAAGGATACTACCTATCCTTTCCTTTTTCCAAATCAATCCTTATGAGATCAACATTTGAAGCAGAAAATGAGCCATCTCAGTCCTTACTGATGTTTTGATAAAAATATGTTGGAGTAATTGGTGTTTTCATTTGAATACACAGAAATCAATCCCTCCAAGCTAGGATAGACTTTTTCATATTCAGATATTTTGCTTTTGTAAAACCGCTTCCTTCACTGAGAATAACATACAGGTCTATTCCCATCGTATTACATTGCTTAATTTTTTCCAGAACCTTTTATTTCAAATAATTTCTCTCATACAATTGTAGTATAATATGATACTGCCCTTTTATTATTGTTCTTACGTTACTAGCTTTAGGCACTGATCCACTTAAGCAGTTATGAACAGTGTTAAATCCATCCATATTCTGATAACCATTTTACATTGTTCAAGAGTTCATTTTTTCCAGACTTTTTTCTAAAGTCAATGTGTGATCCTTACACAATGCAAGAAGAATAGCTAATTCTGTTGTCTAAAAGTAGACATCAGATATTACTTCCTTTTTTTTTTTCTCTTACTGCAAGTTACATTTTGTGTTTGTAAAATATTACCATGAATTATTTTCCTTCGGTATCCAGTGAGGCCCTCAGAGCTGCATATCTTCGTCTTCTGGGCAGCACAAATCCAAATTCTCATGTGAGATTAATGTTGAAAATATGTCTTTGTTGTATTTTCCTTTCCTTCTGTAGTCAACTTTTCTGCCCTTAAAAAAGTGGAGGGAAGAGTTCAAGATAAAAAGGATTTGCTTACCTGTCTGTATATTTAGGTATGAATTAAAACTAAAGCTAAGGTTTTTTCAAACCTGCATTTGTGATTCCAAACTACCAGCTTTGTTTCCTTTAAGCTCGTTTCTGGATCTCCAGGAAGGAGATTTGCAGACTTCCTTCTGTTACTTAAAGATTCCTTCATATCTATGAAACGTTCCCTCCCTTACCTCAGCTGTCCTTTAAATCTTTGCAGTTCCTTTGAGGCTCATAGCAGACACGCAAAAGAACATTGACCAAAAACTTACTCAGTAACTTCTGGGGCTTCATTTTATTAACAGAAGTCTACCATGAGTTGATTTGGAACTTGGCTGAATACATAGTTGGACATCCATATGAGGAAAGATGTAATTTAATTCCTGCAAGTACTTAAGAATTGCTTGGGAAGGCAAGGATGACTTGCCCAATCTAACATGCATGTGATGTTTTCATTTGCATTGATAAGAAATAGCGCAAGGATGTGTGTGCTGGCCTCACCCCTGAACTTTTTGCTGAAAAGAAAAAAATTTGATCTTTTTATAATAGTTTACATGATAAAAGTTGAAATGAAGACTTTAAAACCCCAAATAAATGCTGGAGAAAGTATTACCTACTGGTGACAAAGACCTTCTACCCTGAGTCATATTTTGGGTATGTGATGCTTTCTGTCTCAAGAACAGGTTTTGAAAATACCTGATAAGAGAGACAGTTTTTGTTGGTACTGTCTTACTGTCAGTGTTAACATTTGCTTCCCTCATCTCCCCTCAGTCTGAGCTTTGTATGGCCAAGTCTGCTTACTGAAGAAACTTAGTTTAGTTTTTGAAATGACCCAGTCAAGCTTTGCATGTTCTCTTGTGCCTGGAATCTAGTATATGTCAAAAAATAAATAGTGTAGTTTATTTTATTATTATGTGTCCAGTGCAGTATTTTTCTTTATATTAATAACCTGCAAGTTGTAGAAAGGCTTTCAGACAGTGTTTGTACTTGAGGAGCAACAGTGATAGAGGATTAGATTTGGCCACAGTATCACTCATTAACACATCAGCAATATATGATCTTGCATGCTGGGACGTCTACAGTCTTTAAAAAAAAAAAAAAAAAAAATTCAATTTTTTGGAAGACAACACATCTTAGGTAGCATAAACTTCAATCATAGAAGAGTTGTAATTTCTAGATTGTTAATCTGAATGCTAAATAAATATATTCTTGGTGGAACTGTAATAATAAAAACTCAGCAAAATACAGAAGTGGACACTGGTACCATATACAGATAGATTTAAGCAATCTTGTATTGACAGAGTATTTTTTTGTTGATGTCCGTTAAAGTTTATGTCAGCAGTATGTATGTTTTAGTCTTCTTCATCCATCAAAGTGTAATATTTGTACTGAGAAATCTTCAATTTAATAGGATATTTATGATGTGTTAGAATTTAGGTAAAGGAAAAACGTGATCCATTGAGATCCAGTGCAGTAATCTGCTTTTGTCATCTCTTACTGAAACATTTTGCAATATGAACATCGTGTGAAAGATGACCGCATAAGTCTGCTGTCTGCCTAGCTGCTTGAAATCTGTATAGATTTTATATCTGATTAAAACCCAAGTATTTTGCCCCCTCCCTTTAGATATTAAACATAAGTGATTAGAAGTAAAAGTAATTTGCAGTGTCTGCAGCTTCGTTTTTCCCTGTGTTCCTGTGGAATTGGAGGATAAAACTTGCTGTACAACTTCAAAGAGAAAGTTGATTACTTTGTACCTTCTTTTCATTAACTGTGGAGATGCAGAGCTGTCTGCTCAATGACGTGCAAGCCTGGTTTTGGAAGAGAAACCTTTAATTCTCACAGATTGTAAATTTGTGATCTAGTACCTGCTGTTATTTTAATTGGCATGTATGTGATGACATGGGCACTGGGGCTCTGATTGTTTTTATTTTTAACAGCTGCTATATGTTTATCGAAAAGTCTTTGACACTAGTTTTGTTCCTACAGATAAAATTTGGCATTTTGACATGGAAAAACGGTCTTGTAAGACAGTTCATGAAACTAAATGCATGTGTTCATTTGTCTGAGGCAGCTACAAATTTGTGCAATGTGCCCATATTGTCTATCTACTGTTTCAACAAATGATCTGAAACTGTTTATTTTAGTTTATAAAGCACTACAGTACTTCTGATATTTCTGAATACATTACACTGCATAAGCCTTCATCAAAATTACTTTGTGAGATACAAAATCAGCTCTAGTTTTTAATTTTTTCACTTTTTATCCTAGGATTTTGGTATAATAGGCTAATGTGCAGTTTTTTTTCTTCAGTGGACCTAATTTCATTTTAGTGTTACATTTAGAAACACTGCCAGTTTTGTTTCATTATTTTAGCTCTCTAGTTCTGCAGCCTTGGAAGGGAAAGGACAATTAAAATTTACTTCTGGAAGATGGAGTCCACACCACAATTGTACACAGATTGCAACAGCCAATGATACCACTGTTCGAGGATGGGATACACGAAGCATGAGGTACTGAGAAATTCCAGTCTTGTTTTCTAAAAAAAGAAAATCTGCTTTGGAGATAGATTCCCGCTGCTGAGCCCCCCCCCCCCCCCCCCCCTCCTCCATTGCTTCTAACATATTTTTTTATTTTATTTTTAAATATTAGAAATATGGTAAAGATATGACTTACACAGGGAATGGCTGGGCATGCATAGGTGATATATTTACAATTTAGTAAAGAGCTTTCTCTGCTTTTTTCGTCCCTCAGCTTCAATTCTAGCTTGTATATTGAGTTTTACTGAACTATGTACCAGTCTCAGGATGATTTCTTCAATACATAAGCATTACCTGAATGAAGCTGTTCTGTAATTCAACCTGAAAATGATTTAACAACAGTCCTGACTATGCTGTGAACTATCTTGATAGCATGCTATTTAAAGGTAACATCAATGTCTGAAGGTGATTAACAGGTTAAGTTCACTCTTCACTTTTCTGACTTTTAACAAATAGCATGCTATACTTCATTAAAGTGTAGCATGCTAGATATATGAAACTACTGAATCTATCAAAATCATAACCAAATCAATTAAAGCTTTGAATGTACCTAATAAGGTGTTTTCCCCCCTGCTCAGTTGTGATTTTGATAAGCAAAGGAGTGATGTTGTGCACATCTGTTGCCATGACTACTAAAGCCTGTGCAAGCTTTTTTAAGATACGCTTTATCCCCTTAGCACATAGTAATTTATCACTAAACCAGGAAGACTGATGTCTTGTAATAACTTTTGTTGCCTTAAAGGGGGATGACTTTAAATTTAGTTCTATGGTCTCTGCCAGCTCAGGGGTGTAGCAATAAATCCCCATGTTTGCCAGCCTTGTGTGTTTTTGCCAAAAAGGTTTATTTAATTTAAGAAACAAAAGCTAAAAATACAAATATAATAAAAAGTCACTTCCTATATGCTTGTTACCAGGTTTGAAAGTCCTATTCTTTGCCTTGTAAAAGGATATATAAAAATCTAACTTCATATATATATACATGTATACTTTCATTTATGAAGAGTTTTAAATGAAGCATACAAGAGAGGAAATAAAGGTCAAAGAAGAAAGGGGGGTTTGTAAGTTGCTTTTTTGTGATGTTTTTATAATAAAATCTATTTTTAGCATAATGCATGCAGACCTTAAGATTAAAGCCTGTGTTTCTAAGTAGAAAGTCTTAAATACTGTGAAGTCTGCTTTGTGGTCTGTCTCACTACAAAAAGTATCTCTATCTTGTATTGAATGAATACTCTGAGTAACTTTTTTTGAAAGGTAGATAGTCCAGATATTAATAACATCCTCAATGAAAGGGTAGCTTCGTTAACAAAAACTCTGCAATTCTAATTACTTTAAGTGAAGCTGAGGTTAGATAGTCCTTGAACCAATTTACGAGTACTAGGCTATGCCAGAGCTGTTTGCGATGTACTTGAAAAATATGTACAAGAATAAATCTCATCCACAATTATGCTGTAATCTGTCTAGAATGATGTGAATATTTGATAATGACTAGTTAGGCTGGAAGCAGGAGTTTAAAGTCAGGGCAGCATAAACTGTGGCAGTATAAGAAGCAAAAAATGGGGATGAGGGGAGAAATCACAGGCAGAAAACTGCTATACCTGCAAAGAATAAGAGGAGAGATACTGAAGTAGTATCTTGAAATAGCTACTTCGGTGGAGTGTGATTATGATAGCTGTAAGATAGAGGGAGTAAATGATTTTGGACATGGCAAACAAAGAAGGGCGGGGAAGGTTGGTGGGAAGACACCTAGACTAGACTAGGAAGCGATTTTAATCAGAGAAGAGCTTGTGAAGCAGAGGAGACAGACAGTAGGCTGAATGGATTTAGAGAATTGCATCAGGAAAATTCAGACTCCAAGAACAAATTCTAAAAAATATGGAAGAAAAATATGAGAAAGTGGAGCCAGTAGCTGGAGAAAATGTTCATGTGGTCTGGCCTTAATCTTGTGATGTAAGTGGGAACTACTTACTGCTGTAGGTAGGATGGTAGAATTAAAGAAAAAAGATTCGTATTTGGGAAGGAAAGGGATCAAGTGGTCAGAAAAATAGCTAAGTTGGGATAAAGGCTTTCATGGTAAGCAGTACTGAATATACAGTGGACAGTGGTATTTCTTCCTAAGTCCTTACACACGTCTCAGTCAGCAGGGCAAGAAGTGCCGGAAAGGAGTGAAAGGTGCAATAAAGGAGGCAAGGAGTGTTTTATTGCTGCAAGCATGGTCGGGATTTAAAAATCTTCCCATAAAGATGTTTCAAGAAATTAAGAGGAAATGTCAAACTCAGCTCCCAGAATACCTGGTAGAAAGGCATACCTGAGTGATATCCTTAATCTCTCAAACTCTGAGAAGAGTGTTGATGTTGGTTATCTAAGTAATACCCTCTATACCAAGTGACTGGCATAGCTGTCATAAGAGGGTTTATTATAGGCCTGGCATGCTTTGAATCTCCCCTTATGGAGCTACTTGGCTTTGTATTAGTAGTTAGGTATTAAAAGCAAGAGACTTCTCTATCTAGTCTTGACAGAAGACCGTATGTACAGCAGAAGAAAAAAAGTTTTGGTCAGTCTGTTTTCTGAAAAGTAACATTTTTCATTTAAGAAAAAAAAAAAAAAAGGAAAAAAGCTCACAAAGTGTTGACAAGTTCTAGTGAAGATTGTTGGAGATTGTCAAATCTAAACAGAACTTTGGTAGATGGTGGTAGTGCGATAGCGGAAACCAAAAAAACACCTCCCAAATCTGAGTTTAAGAGGTGAGGTAGGAAATCAAACTGATGGAATATGATGTTTTCAATAAGGATGCAAGGTGCTTAGCAGTACTACGAATGTTTTCTGAAGTGGTCCAGATGGATGAGTATGTGCATGGCTGAGTAGTTTAAGGGCCACAGGTAAATTAATGGTAAATGCCAAAGCTCAAGAAGGTAAGTTCAAAACAGAGCAATAATAAAAAGCTATTGTTCATATCTGTTACATCTCTTGCATCTCAGCTTTTCATATCGGGAGAACTAGATGTCATAAATAAATAGAGAATTAGTATAATTACTTAGGGGTGGAGAAGCTGTTATCTGAAAACATTGTGGTTTAGTAACAGACGTTTCGTAACAGTTGCTAGAGAGCTGTGCTAGAATCTTGTGGAACTACTGTTTCC